CGACAAGGGGCCACGACAGGTGAGGGCTGACCGGCTGGCCTCTGGGGTTGAGGAATGCGCCTGGGTGAGATGCAGCGCCGGGGACGGAGCCAAGGGACCACGGGTCTACGACTGGGCCACTGTGGATATACGTCCCCTTAGGGAGCCTGGCCAGGGCTATTGGCTGTTGGTCCGGCGCAGTCTGGCCAACCCCGGGGAACTGGCCTACTACGTCTGTTACGGCCCGGCGGGAACGACCCTGGAGGAACTGGCGAGGGTGGCCGGGACCCGGTGGGCCATAGAGGAATGCTTTGAGGAGGCCAAGGGACAGGTGGGGCTGGACCAGTACGAGGTGCGGAGGTGGGATGGCTGGTACCGGCACATCACGTTGGCGATGCTGGCCCACGCGTATCTGTCCGTGATCAAGCATCAGGCAATGGAACAGGGAGAAAAGGGGGCTGCTACGGTCCGGATGAAGAGCTGATTCCCATGACAGTGCCGGAGGTGCGCCGGTTGCTCACCCGCCTGGTATGGACGGAGAACCAACCGCCTGATTTCGTCCTGTACTGGTCGTGGTGGAGACGGCGCCACCAAGCCAGAGCCCAGAAATGCCACTACCAACGGCGCCTAACTAATCTGCGACTGTAGTACTAGGCCATTTCTTTCCACTAACTGGCTGGAGCACTTTCACGAACAAGATAGGGGAGTGCAAATCGAGGGAGCTAGCAAGTCGCTGGAGAGGAAGAAGTTCACGTTCGGGCCAAATTCGGAATCGAAAGTGGCCGTTTTCAATGTAGGCGATGCCAAAAGAAGATGTGAAGTCGAGGGATATCCCGTAGAAATCAAGACTACCGGAGAAACCTACGATCCCTCTCATACGGGAATGTACGGGTTTGAACATTCCTACAAGGATGTTGCCGCCATCCTCGCTGTGGAGGTTGACTTAACTCTATATCGCGTGAAGGATTTCCGACAGGGAAGTTGACTGTATAAGGAAGCAGTAGTTCACGTCATATCTTGGGCGCTCAAGCACATCTCCTTCTGCGGGCTGCTCCTTTCGAGGGAGGCACATCTCGATATCCGAAATGTGTTGACAATAACCAAGGCTGAGTCTCAACTTCAGAGTGATCTATCGGCCGCCCTTGGCGTTACCGAAGCAGAGGCGCGGCAGGTGCTGAATGCACTGAGGATGATGCCCCAGAATCTCCACGCTCATACATCGGAACCCGCCGTCGATATCGCTCCGTTCCTGAATATCAACTCTGGTGGCGTAATCCATTCGATTGCGGGGACGCTGGGTAGTCCGTTCGACTTCATGCTTGCCGAGCTTAACAGGCGGTATCCCAAGGATTGGGATCACGCAGTCAACGAACGAGAAGGGGTCTTTCGCAAGGAATTGTGCAATCTATTCCCAACACAGAGGTTTTGGAAGGCGGAGAAGCCACTAAAGCTGAAGCACGAAGGAGCAATTGCAACAGACATAGACGCTGCCGTATTTGACGCCTCTACTGGGACACTTGGTCTATTTGAGCTGAAATGGCAGGACCCCTTTGGGACGTCTATGAGAAAGCGAAATTCCAAGATGAAGAATTTTCTCAATGAAACGAACCGATGGGTTTCCATGGTTAGCTCAATTCTGAATCGTAATCCGCAAGCCCTTGATAATCTGCTCGGACAGGAAATAACGGACAAATGTGACACGAAAAGAATCCTGTTGTTTGTCATTGGCCGCCATTTTCCCCACTTTTCCGGCGGTGTGTACCGTGATTCCAGGGCGGCTTGGGGTATTTGGCCGCAGATGCTCCGTCTGTTTAAAGAGTCATACGATGGCTCAGACCCGATTTCGTGGCTGCACAAGATGCTTCAAGAACATTCACCCTCACTAAGAACACCTATAACCGTGGAGGAATACGAAATGCAGATCGGAGGATACCGGATCAAATACGGCCCGGCATCAACGGGATGAGTTCCGTGACTCGTCAGCCTGTGTCCCTCCACCCCTGTGATAGACGACAATTAGTCCTGTCGGTAGCGACGACTATTTTTACCGGTCGATAAAGGGTAATCAATTGGTACGGAGGTGCCGATTGATTACGGACTGACAAGTCAGGCTACTGAGGCAGAAACGTATGTAAGGCAAGACACAGGAAACGGCAGCGGCCAAGGCTGGGATGAACGGCGTCTCGCTCAAGGTGGATAGCGAGGGCTTCTGGGTGGCGTCGGAGGTCCCGCTCCAGGTGGTTAGCTCTTCAGTAGGGGGGCGACCTCGAAGAGACCAGCCATATCCTCAGCGCGGGAGTGCCGGCTGACCCTGAGCAGCGGGAGTACGCCCTTCGTGGACCCAGAGCCTTCGTCCGGGAACGAGCCCGGGCCCTGGGGATCAGCGACCCGGTCGTGGGCCTGATCACCGGCCTGGACCACGATCGGATCCAGGTGGCGACCTACGCCGAAGGGGAGACCTAAGTGGCCGCTCTGGCTATCGGCCCCCCTCGCCACGGTGGCTAAAACTCTGGCGTTGTTCGAGGCCGGGGTAAAGACCGAGGGAGGGTCAACGGCTACTGGGACTTCCTTGGACGCGATGGTCGTAGCCTCCACCGGCGGTGGCGTCTTTTCTCAGTAGGCGGCACATCCACCCTGGTAGGCAATCTGATCGGTCTGGCCGTCTACGATGCCGTGGCCGAAGGAGTACGCTTGGAACAGGAGGCATCGGGAAAATCCTTGGGCTCCGCGGCCGCTCGGAGCGTAATGTTGGTCCTGACCACGTCGCAACGCTAAGGGCATCAAAATGGGCCTAGCGAGCGCCTGCTCCTGGGCCGTGTAACGGTATTGTCCCGACCGACATCAGGGGGTAGAAGACACAAATCAAGACAAGACGGACTGGTACATTAGGCTTGATGCAAGGAGGTTCTGTGTCGACTGGCAACCTGCCCAAGTATGCTGCCAAAGGGGGAAAGGCAGAAACTGGACCTTGATTGGATAAAATTGCTGCACCAAGAGGGACTGCCTCCCTTTTTGCCGGTAGCGTCCGATCCACCGGCCAAGTTTGGGCAAGCGATACGCGAGTTCAATCGAGCACAATACTGGCAATGTCACGAAACCCTGGAAGAACTTTGGCTGCCCGAAGGGTATCCCCTGCGCTTGTTTTACCATGGACTGATCAAGGCGGCGGTTGGCCTCCTGCACCTAGAGCGACATAACCGCCATGGAGGGACAGCTAAGCTCCGTGACGCCCAATATGCCCTGACCCCCTTTTCTCCCAAATTCATGGGCGTTGAAATCGGAAACTTGCTCAGCGATATCGGCAAGCGTTTGGCCTATTGCCAGGATGCAGAAGTAGCAGACTGGTACGCCATAGACCAACTTGCTCCAGTCTATTTACACTTTGAGAACCCCTATTGAAACCATGCTAGTAGAGCTCGGTGAACGCCGGCAGGAGGACCAGGGGAACCTATGGTAAATCGAGAAATTCAAGCCACCTGGTATTACCACAACGGCACCAAGCACCCCCACGGGAATCTGATGGACCCTCGGCACTCCTTTGACCCGTCGAGCCAACCCCTGCTGTTCAAAATATACCCGGACCTGGATCCGATTCCGTTGCCGTTTGAGGTATCGCCATCGGTGGTGCCCGCGCTATCCGCGATCTCCATGGAGGTTATTCCCTCAGTCAGTGACGGAACACTGGATATCACCACCTTGAGCAGCATTCTGTACTTCTCAGCTGGGATTACCAAGAGGTTGAACTTCCCCTGGGGATCCATGCCGTTTCGTGCCGCGGCCTGTACCGGTGCTCTGTACCACATCGAGCTTTATGTGGTATGTGGAGACCTGCCTGGTTTAGCAGCCGGAGTCTACCACTATAATCCCGGAGGGCCGTCCCTAACCCGGCTACGGCCGGGCGACTATCGGGGAACCCTGGTGGCTGCCAGTGGCAACGAGCCGAGCTTGACCCATGCTCCCGCCATAATCCTCTATACCGATGTATTTTGGCGGAACGCCTGTAAGTACCAGGCCCGGGAATACCGCCACTCCTATTGGGACAGCGGAACCATTCTGGCGAACACTTTAGCCATAGCCGCGGCGCATGGCCTACCTGCTAAGGTGGTGGCCGGATTCGTGGACAGCTCGGTTAACCGCCTGCTGGATCTGGAGAACCGGCAGGAAGTAGCTCTCGTGTTGGTACCAGTTGGATTCGTTCCCGAGCCGTCAATCGGATCCTCTTCCGACTTAGAGCCACTTTCGCTGGATACTCAGCCGATTTCGGAGTACGAGGTAGAATTACCCGCCATTTGGGAGATGCACGGTGCCTCCTCTCTGACGGATGAAGCAGAGGTGGTTTCTTGGCGAGGCGAAGGCCCGGCAATGCTGATGCCCCATCCTTCGGGACGCCTCGTACCGTTAAATCGCTACTCTGACGGCGAGACGCCCCAGGACTCCATCGAGTCGGTCATCGTTCGGCGCGGGTCCGCACGCCGTTTCAGCCACGAATCGATAACCCTCCGGGAGCTGTCGACGGTGCTCGAAAAGGCCACGCAGGGCATACCGGCAGACTTTTTAGGACAACCTGGCGCTGCTCTCAATGATATTTATCTGATCGTGAACGCTGTGGACGACCTCCCATCTGGCGCATATGTGTTCCACCGAGACCTGAAGGCTCTGGAGCTGCTGAAGGAGGGAGACTACCGTCGGCAAGCTGGTCATCTGGGGCTCGATCAGCCGCTTCCGGCCGATGCCAGCGTCGACTTTTTCTTCATGACTAATCTGAATCCGATACTGGAGCGTTTTGGTAACCGGGGTTACCGGTTGGCTCAGCTGGATGCCAGTATCACAGCGGGCAAAATCTACCTGGCAGCCTATGCCCAAAGACTGGGGGCCTCTGGCCTGACGTTTTACGACGACCAAGTATCCGGATTCTTCTCGCCCCACGCGGCAGGTAAAAGCGTGATGTTCCTGGTGGCGCTGGGGAAGCGAGCCAGGCGTAGGCTAGTCACCCTCGACACCAGTCGGCTGAGGCAACAGCCCAACTTGTAAAGGGCACGCCACTTAAGGAACTTGACCATCGCCGAGGAGTTGCCATACCTGGAGAGAGAACACACCTCTCCGAGACCAAGCGAGCAAATTTTAGAAGTAGAGACTATCAAGGTCCCAAAACCGTCAAGCTAGAAACCGGAGTCGAGGAGTGCTTTGCATGAGAGTGTATTGGCGAAAGGTAAAAAGGGGAGAGAACCTGATTCTCAGTGACGAAAACGACGGCCATGAAGAGGAGCTTGGAGGGTTCCGAGACACCAAACGGGGCATCGACGCGTTGGCGAAGACTTTTAGCTACGACCCGAGCCGCTCCCGGAAGGGGTTCCCATCTATCGAAGAAGCCAAGGATTTCGTGGAGTCCTTCAGACCTTGGGAGCTATTCGGTACCCAGGGCGTTACTGTCGACCCTGGGGTTAGGCCCGCCCTAGATTCGGCCACAACAGACACAGCGGGCACGCCAGACCAGCCGGCGCAGTCGATGGTGGCGGACCTGCGATCAACGAGAGGATGGTGGCAGTTCTGGAAGAAGAGTTAGACGCTCCATGACCCTCCCGCCAGAGACCCGCGCCAGTAGATGCCACTTGGCTTTGGTTTAGTTTCCCATGCTCGCACGGGCAGATATTAAGCTGTTCCAATCGCCAAAGGGACTTCCTTTCGATGGGCGGACGCGGCAACTCTCCGGAACCGTTAACCCAAGAATCAGATGGTTTTTGCTATCAAAGTTGGGGAAAGGGAGTGACGAATATAGCGGGAACGAAAGCCAGGGCCGTTTTAATCCAGGTCGCATTACAAAAAGGAGAAGTAGCCATGTACGTCATCAGAAGAATCGCCAAAGCGCAGCCGGGGAAGGTATGGCAGGTTGCCAACCTGCTGATCAAAATATGCGCCGCCTACGAGGAGAATGGCCGGCCCAAGGCACAAGTGTATGTGTCCCAGGGCCTGCCGGGAACTCCCAACGTGGCCTATGCTGAGTGGACCCAGGCGACCATCGAGCCCAACTGGCCTTCCCAGGTCCCCCGAGGTGGTACGGACTCTGAACGCCGAGATGCAGGCCCAGCTCGACTCCTACGAGATCGAGTTCTACGAGCTGGTCACACCGGAGAAGCTAGCCGAGAGGGGGGTCTCATAAAAGACCTACGATAGAAGACCCCTGTAAGCCAAGGAGGGGTTTGTTATGAAAGCAGTTGTTTACCAGGCCCCATTCAGTATCGCCGCGGAAAATGTGCCAGACCCGGAGCTGCAACACCCCAACGATGGCATCGTGAAGATCACTTCCTCTTGTATCTGTGGCTCGGACTTGCACATGTACGAGGGGCGGACGGCAACGCTGCCCAGCAACGCGTCCAGGCCGAGTAGGTGAACCGGCAAAACTAATTGACGCCAACCGGCGATATAGTTGACGCGGGACAGCAAAGCCTACTTGAAGGTCAGATGACGGCAGTCGTGGGTCTCCGAGTAGGGAAAGACCGGCAGTCAGGCATTACAATAGCGCCCTTTGTCGGGCTTGGGAGAGCGGGATGAGGCAGGCCCTGATTGGCGCCATTTTTGCAGTCATGCTGGCCGTTCTGGCCTGTCAGGGTGAGACGATAACCGTTGAAGTGCCCGCAGACACGCCGACGCCTCAACCAACCTACACCCCGTACCCGACTCCGGAGCCGGTGATTGAGACGGTGGTGCGGGACAACTACTGGATCAGCCAGCCGACTTACGACGGGGGCCACCGGTATGTAACAGTAAATACGGACGAAGAACAACCTGTGGCGGGCCCCTGGGCTTTGTGGCTGGAATGTGACGCGGCCGGAGAGCCGGGGGCTTTCATGAACAATCTGCAGGGCAATATGTTCGATGAGGGAGAGCAGGAGAGGGGCGTGCAGATCCTGCTTGTAGAAATTGACAACGACCTGGAAGAGCAGAACTGGTGGTATTTCCCGCCCGATGTTCCTTATTCCGACTACTTCAGCTATTACAGAACGCCGGACCTGATAGGCGAGCTGCTGCAGGCGACGACCGTAACATTCACCATCGAAACAAGCGCAGAGCCTTTTGTGTTTACCTTCAATGTCGCAGGCCTTGAGCAACACATTCAAGGGGCGGAGGATTTGTGCGGCAGCTGACCTTTGCGGGTGTGTTCCCAACGATCCAAGCGAATACAAACCCCTGTTTGCTGGGTGGATCCAAGTCCCGTATAAAGAGCATTTTCCGCCATTCAGGCGTTACGATGAGAGCTTCGGAGCACCCGAGATTACGTCCGGCAATCAGAAGGGGCCTTTTGCGAACCGGAGTTGTGCGTGGAATTACTGATTACCGTGCATATCACGAGATTTTCCGGGTGCCTTGAAAAGAATTTTCTGGAGGTCTCCATGACCGTCAGAGACATCCCCTCTGCGACTGCGACGAACATGCGCCTGCTACGGCTACGGCAAGGACAAGGCCTATTTCGAGGTGGTCGCCAGCCCGCAACGGCCCGCCCACGCCGAGGGCTGCGCCTGTCAGCCCTGCCAGGTGAGCGGGCCTGCCTCCGGAAGGTGATGACGCTCATGGCCCGGAGTTCGCCGGAGCTCTTCGAGCTGGTGGAGGGCCTGGACGCTAGTATTACAACGACGATTCATCCAATAGGCAGCTCATGAGCGGAAATTTTTATTGCGGAACCGCAAGGCCGCAAAGCTGAGATGCGAGTGGCTGGTAGCCAGGAGTGGGTGTGTCAGGAGCCCTATCTAACCAATCGTCGTCGTAATACAGCGGCTTGAGATGCCCCGGATCACGAGGGGTCCGCAGGTGTACCGGGTAGTGCGGGGAATGCTGCTGAAGGTTTCGGGCCGCTGATTTGCTGCGGTGGCTCGAGGATACGCGGATAGTAACGACGGGCCAAGCGCTCCCATGCCAAGCGCCGCCGCCCGCCCGCACATTCCTCTTGACCGTCGTTGTAATACACAGTCTAAATAAGACCCACAGACGGCAAAGCAGCACTACAAATGGCGCAGGTAACGAGAATATCATCTATCAACCGATGAGCGCCCAAGCCATCCGGTATCATCTCGGGTCCACGATTCCAAGTGTCATGGAGCCCATGGCGGCATGGCTGCCGCGGCGTCGATCATCGCTGTGCGGGCGGACAATCCGAGGGTTATCTGTCCTGGATCCTCTCTCTCGGCCCTCGTGGTTTGCGGATTAGGCGGTATCCCTGCAGACCTTCGAATCTGGAGTATTCGGGTCGGGGTATTCCCTTGGCCTAATTTCCGCATTCGCCTTCATCGCCATCTGTATCTCAGCGCTGCTGGCCGGCGGCCCGGCAGCTGCTGTCAGCCTGATCGTCGCCTCGTCGTTGATACAGTTCGTGTTCATCTCCCGGCTCTCCTGGCTGCGGCGTGTCATCAGCCGTGGGTTGCCGGAACGGTTCTCATGTTGCTGGCCTCGACGATATACCGTCGTACTCGGCAGGCTTTCTGATTTGCCGGAGGGTCTCCCCCGGTGGCGGCGCCCATCCTGCAGGAGCGACCCTGTCCATCCTGATGATGCTGAGGCTGTTCGCGTCCCCCAAATGGCATGCAATGGGCGCCAGTCGTTGCGATCGTGCAGTTGCGCAATAGCGGCCCCGTTCGGCGCTTACAACTGGCAGTTGGTTTGTGGAGCTTCCCCTGGATTGGATTTCCCAGCTATCCCTGGCCGGGATTGACCTGAGCTTTGGCGCGACCTTCTGGGGCTTTTGCCGGTTCGTGATAGTGAACCTGGCGACCACGATCAATTCGATAGGCGACAACGTGGTGATTCAGCAGGTGGCATGGCGAGGCCGAGCGACTGACTTTCGGGTGGTCCAGGGGCGCATAACCTGTTGGTTTTGACCAATCTGCTGCGTGCGCGCTAGGACAATCCCAACATGATTGGAGCGGCCAATCCGCTCGAAGTGACGCTCACCGGCGTTGCGCGCGCGTCGCATGGGGGTCTACGGGGGCTTTGGTTATGTATTGGCATCCTTTTCCCCAAAGCTGATAGCCTGATTGTCGCCGCGCCGCGCCCTGTCCCGTGGCGCCTACATCATATTCTCTTTCTCGCTCCTCTTGTGCAGGGTATGAGGACCGTTTTCAGGACGGAGTAGACGGCGAAAAGCCGCGTGATAGGAGTGTCCTACTCTGGATGGGCATGGTTTTCAGACCAGGTGTTCTGCCCGATTCCTGACTGAACCCTGGGGACTCTGCTCAGCCAACGGCATGACCGACACCGGCTCGGTGTGCGTAATTCTGCTCACTCTGCTGATGGAGTTCACTTCCAGGCTCGCAGGCGGTTTGAATGTGGCCATGAACCTTCGTCGCTACCCAGATGACTCCTTCCTCCAGCTGATTCGCGCACAAGCGCCGGCTGGATGAGACAGTCAATAACCTGCTCAGTCAGCCGGGAGGAAACTCTGTCGAGCCTGCTGTCGCAGGATGAGAGTAGCCGGAAGAGGATGCACTGAGGCGCCTCATTGTTGCTGCGCCGCGTCGTGCCGACGCCGCATTGAGATGAGAGTTCGTGTGGTGACCACCGAGCGGGAATCTGCGGAGGGACAACTGCCTATATGAACCGAACAGCTCTGAGATACAGGACGAGCGCGAAATTGCCTTCCGCCTCTGCGCATTACGCATCCTGCGTGATCCAGCACCATACGTACCACAGTACCCGGACGACCTAGATAATCGTACGTGTCAGTCTCAAACCTTCGTACCTAGTGCCGCTGGGTGGACCAGCCGTCCTGCCGGTTTAAATATTAATTATTCGCGTTCAGCTGCCGACTGGGCATACCCTCATCCACAGAACTGCGAGGCGCCGATCGTTGAGACGTGAGTCGTTGGTCTCACCCTTTGTGTCATTCCGAGAACCGTCGTCGTTTGTATACTAGTTAGGGCTATGTATGTCGCAGCGAGGCGCGGCCACTCTGGCCTCTCGCGAGATGGATTCCTTCTCCGCGAGCTGCACAGAGAGGCGAGTCTCATGTCCCCTGTGCGCTCCGCACCGTGTCCGCCCGCCGCCGGTGCCGAGCCACAATGGCCGGCCCAAGCGAGGGCTTGCTGGACCGCCCTTTCTAGTTGGGGAAGTTTGGGGGCGGTAGTTACCGGACATATTCAGCACTTGCCCAACGGCCCCAATGAGTGGCTGGCTCATACCCCTCATTCAGTCACCGGGCTGACTCGCCCCGAGTTTACCCTCGCCGCCCTGGCACTGCCGTACCACCGGCCCTGCCGCTGAATCGCCGGGTCCGGGCCGGACCACCCGGCCACTATGGCCAGAGAACCCCTCCCCCAAACCCGCTGCCTGCTCGCAGCGCTTGACCCAGCGGTTGGTCGTCTTCCCGAAGACGGAAGGTATCGCATCGCCGCGGAACTGCGGAACTCGTCCAAGCGGCATGGGCCCGGCGGGTGATGAACACCGCCTCGTCCCTCGCCCGCCTGATCGGTTTTGCTCCGGTCGATGAGCACCGCCGGTGCCGTCGTCTCAACCGTTCGATGTTCGGACGAAACGAGAGCGGAACTCTCTCTCCGCCCGCGCTCCCTGGCGGCCGGTTCCTGGCGTGCGTTGGGGCGGATGCTCAGACCGGGTCCTGCGGAGACTCCAGGGCGGCGACACGGAGAAGCCGGGCTGAAAGGGCTCGGACGCACGTGGCGCCGACGGCGATAATTCGGAGAATCCGTCGTTCCGGATGTGATTTATGTCCCCTCAAATTTACCGGGCGACCCGATGGCCACCCCGGCCGGTGAATGCGCGGACGGGCCCGCCAAGGCCGCGGACGCGGAGTTCTTCGCCGATGGTTCAGATGTCGTGAGACTATACGGTTCGCACAACCGGTCTTCTGACGCGCGGACGTAAACCTCGCGCTGTGTTTTCTTGGCCTGAATGTCACAACGATCACTCGCTGGTGCGAGCTGACTACTCGCGCTTGTGGAGAGTGGCGGAAAAGCATCGTGTGTTTAACAGCCTGCCAGAGCCTGACAGGTGGCAGCGCGCGCGCGGAGACTAGCCCGGACCGGATGCGGCCGGACATTGCGGGACGAGATACCCGAGCGGCAACGATGGGCACAGATCCCTGAGCGCTGTCATGCGCCTATTGTATCGCCTGGGTTCTCGTCCAGTCATACCGTTTCGCACGGCCAGACCACCGTTTTTCCTGCTGACTCCCGATCTTGAGCATGTGTCTGGATGCCGTAAGACGCCGTTTCGATCGTCACCGGCTGGTTGCCCCTGACCTCGGCGATTTTGCGCAGCGTAAGACAGTCCTGCGCAAACAGCGTGAGTATCTCCGCTCCCGCGCGTCAGCCGGTCACTCGTGGCGCCGGTTGTCGGCGCGCACCGTGCGGAATCATGCGAATCACGCGC